TTTAACTAATAATGAGAGATATAGAAGAGGTATAATTGATTCTAATATTTGTGTTAGATGTAGTGATGCTTCTAAAATTGTTTTTCCTTTTTTAAGAAATTGTTTTTATGCGAAATATGTTTAGAATTACTATATTTTGCTTAATCAATGGGTCAAAATTTTTAGTTATGAATATATGAATTGGTTTTCCTATAATCTAAATAATAAGATTATTTATAATTGTATTAATTGAAATGAACTATTTAAAATTATTATTTGTCATTTATGAAAGATAAAAATTGTTTTCTGTTTTATCAATGTTCTATTCAATCTAATTTACCTGTTTAAAAAATACTTCTAGATGTTAATTATTTTAATTATTGTTCAAAGAATCTTTCTACATGCCTCTCTATGACCACTAAAGAGATAACGTAAGTCAAATGAGTGTCTTCAAATTCTAAATAACTAAGTTAAATTTGGATGGATCTTCTTCTTCTACTAGTTCGTGTTGTGTGCGGAGGATTGATTAGGGATGCTCAATGGTAGTTTCTTTCAGTTTCATCAGTAAACTAGAATTTTGCTCAAGTTTAAAGTCTAAGCTTTGAAATATTTACTTCAAAGTTAATTTGATTATCAAGAAAGGTATTTATAATATTTGGATTAAAAATATTCAAATGACACTCTTTCTTTAATCTTGAATGTCTAAGAAAGTTTATATTATATGTTTCATTTGATGAACTCAAATTTAAAATTTATCCGATTTAGTCATATACAAATCAACGTAATGATATATTAATTGAGAAAAGTTGTTGTGCCTCACAAACTTTTCCATTTTTTTTACCTCTATTTAAGTTTAGATATCTTAGTATTTCAACTTCTAAATTTTTGAGTCAGTATTTAGTTTTGGACTGGTTAGCCTCGATGTCTAAAACAAAAAGTATTAATCAGTGTAACAACAATTAATATTTAAGTTTTAAGTTTCCTAGATCTAAAGTTTATTTATTCTTTATTTGCTAAATTTTTAAATAAAGAATTATAAAGATTATTATAAAATATATCATCAATTACTTTAAGTCATACGTTCCTAAGTTTCCAGAAAAAACACGAAGAACAGTTAAAATTGAATTAACTCAACAAAGAGAAAAATTAATGGATATTCATGAAATGAGTTGGGACATGTTTAAAACTGAATTCCAATATGATTTTTGATAAGGCTGGTTTGTGTATTTAAATATAATTTGGTTATGTCCAAACTTACCAGCAAACCAATTAGGTAAACTGAATCGACTTGATGTTTTATAAAATATAGTTCTTCCATTCTAAATAATTATAGCTTTAGAATATTATACAATGATAAAAACAATTATAAAATTTAGATAAAAGTTGAATATGAAACCATATTATTCTTTTCTTAGAATTATACACTCTTAAAAAAAAATAATACAGAGAAGAATATAAAGTTAGAAAAAATAATAAATATTTCCTTATAGTAACATTGTGAAATGATAAATAATATATTTTTTTATAGACAAAACAAATCTTATTAAAAAGAGTTTAAGGGGAACTCAAAACCTATATACACAAAAAAATTACTTACTCAGAGAAATAAAAAGTAAAAATATACTTATGCAAAATTAAGATAGATGCAATTTCGTGGGTTCAAATACCAATCAGCTAACATAATAGCTTCTCCCTTACTAACAAGTGATAACCATTTCAAGGATCTCAGAATAATAGAATCTAGGACTTTCCTCTCATTCAAAACATCATTGGAAAATATAATTCTATTTCTATGCAACCACAAAGACCACATTGTACTTACCCAAATAATTAATAAGCATATTCCTTCTCTTTTACTACAGCCAACACCAACCCAAGAAAGCAAGTGAGTCGATAAATCTGAAGGCAAAACCAGTGAGAATCCAAGCCAACGCGCAGTAAAGTACCAGATTTGAGATGAAACTGAGCACGTTAAAAATAAATGAGTTAGAAATTCCTCCAAACCATGACAGAAACAACAAGTTATATCATCAATTTGAACACCACGATCAATCAGTAAACCTTTACAAGGAAGTGCATTCAACAACAATTGCCAAGAAAAAACCAGACACTTAAGAGGGACCTTCCCTCTCCATAGCCTTTATAAGGCATCTGCCGTACACTGATCTACACTATTAGGACCACCAAAAAGTTCAAATAGCCATGAATACGCAGATTGCACTAAATAACAATCTGAAGAATCTGCCCTCCATACTCATTTATCTTCTTGTAGTAACTTAATAGAAACTCCATCCACAAGCTCCAACAAAAGATTAAAGCTCAAGATCTTATGTTGAAAGAGTCCTCTTCGCCAACTAACATTCCAAACTCATCTAGTGCCATCATGAAAACTATTCTCCAATACACATGATTCAGCATTTCTCGCCACTGCAAATAATCGCGGAAATACTTCACACAATCGCACCCCTCCTACCCACTTATCTCTCCAAAAAAGAGTGTGTAAACCTGCACCCACACTTCTATCAAACTTCTCATCCAGTCATGAATTCTCTTGATGAATAACCTCCAGCAAATTACGTCACCACAAAGAACATCTGTTGTGAACTGATGAACGCTGAAGAGAAAAAGTTAATCTTCCATATCTAGATTCCAACACACGCACCTACAATGAACTAGAACAGTTAGCACCTCGCCACAACCATTTACCAAGAAGCGTCCAATTAAACCACTGCACATTCCTAATGCCCAAGCCACTATTCTTCCGCGGTCTACATACAGTTTTTCATTTCACCCAAGAGATTTTAGATCCATCCTTAACACCCTTTCATAAAAAATTCTGTTGGATAGTAACAATTTCCTTTAAAAGTTATGACAATTATTTTAGAATAGATGGGTTACAAAAATTTTAATGTCATGCGTAGCTTAACCATTATAGCATTTTTTAAAACAACTTATGGTTGTAAAAAAAAAAATCAAACTTAAACAAAATTCGATTGATGTTTTGGAATATATATTTTCAATTAAATTATATGAGAGAATCTTCACATGTTTAAATGTTATATCACTTTAATCCTAAAGGAATTTTTGTTACTAAATTATTCTTTCAAATATTTTAATTATTATTATGCTGATCTTTTTAAACATTTTATTATTAGATTAATTTTTAAAGATTTAATTTATAATTAAATTAATTTATTTTAAAGGGATTATTACTTTAGTCTTTTAAAAGAATTGATTTAATGATATCTTTAAATTTTTTGAAACAAAAGTATTTTAATGATAAATTAAAAATTCAAAGAATTAATATGGTAATGATTTAAATATATAATCTAAATTTATAACAAACTATTACAGTAACACTTATAATTTTGAAACATCAAGTTATTTCTGTATATTATATCAATATCAATATAAGATACCTTAAAGTTAAAAAAAATAATGACCAACATTACTAAAAAACTTACTAACAGAGAAAATCATGCCAATTTAAGTTTAAAATGATCAAATTTAATTTGTAAAAGTCCAACAGATTTTAATTTAACATGAAAACGAGATGGATGAATAATCATTTAAAACCTTGTAGCAACATACAAACTTGTGGCATTGTTCTCACTTCTCAACCAAACAAAACAAGAGAAACTTACATTCTGTGTCCACTCCACTGTAGTCTAATTACACGTGGGTTCTTTTATTATTGCGTGGACGGAAAGTAATCTTTTATTCACATCCCATATAATCCAAATCCATCCGTCCATTTACCACCGACTTATCTCATCCGTTGGATTTCGTACACATGTCCTCTGTCCCACCCACCAATAAAATATATAGAATTATCATTCCAGACCAAACTCATCCTATTATTATTATTATTATTATTTATGCAAACAAATGTTGTTACCGCAAATCCCATATTTTAATAATTGCTTATTTGATAAGCAATAAACCGAACCCTTTCTTAGAAAAAATACATTTCCATATAGAAAATATATGAATATGAATGAGCGAAAGAAAACGCTTGGCCTACAAATAAGGAACGTATGTTCGTAAGTTTAATTTATGGGTGTATTTTGTTGGTGTAATGGCGTTTCAGATTCAAAGACAGAGATGGATTGTGAGGGGTTGTGTCGGCCACCTTCGAATTTATCTTCAAGGGACCTCCGCGTGGCGCCTCTATCCTTTGACACATGGAAAACTCTTTCTCTTTATCGGTTCAATTTTTTTTTATTGTTTTTAATTTATAATATTTCTTGTTGAATCTTCCTAATCATTAAATAAAATATTATTTAATAGTTTTCTGTTTTTCATATACATGTATGGGTTAGTATTCTATTATTTGATACATTATTCTCAAACTAATTACAAAAAACATTAAAAATATTGTAAGAAAGTGTAGCCTATATCATGAATGAATCTAGATATAAAACTAATTTAAATAAATTTCCTAATAATATTTAAATAAAGAATAAAATGTTTTATTTAATCAAATTTTTTTATTTTTTTATATAAAATAAATTATTAACACCAATAAAAATAATTATATATCATAAATTTATAATATATTTAAAATTTTTTTATAAATATATTTGTTTATATAGATAATTAGTGAATATTTTATCAACAAATTTTAATAATAAATAAAAACACAAACAAAATTCAGTAATTCAATTTAAAAATAATTTTATTTTTATAATTTTAAAAAATATCAGTAACTACTTTTTATAAATATCATCCGAGAGAGTAAATTAATTTTTTATTTAAATTTTTAGATTATAATTTTCATGCATCATAAATATAAAGGATTTTACGCTATCAAATAGTTAATTAAAATGTATGATAAATATTTTTAATTATATAAAATTCAATAATTTACATTAATATTATTTTCATAATAAATAATAGTATACTTTTTATATTATTAGTTAAATTTATTTTATAATTTTTTGCATTAAAAATTTTCGTGCATAAATTAATTGACCTTTATATTTTGTTATTTTTCTTATACCGAAGTAAATCGTAGGCAATCACCAATTCCATCTTCATATAAATAGAACGGATACAGCAGCAACATGGTTCGGGGAAAGCGTTTTCTGGGTTTGAACGGAATCTCACTTAGGTTATTCCTTCAGCTTGGCAACTGTTATATATTTTTTTAAGGTTTATGCATCTATATAATAAACCCATGTAAATTATTGCAAAGAAAGATAAGATAGGTACTAGCTGGTAGTATAGTTTAATTAGTTAATTATCGATAGGTATAGGTAGGTATAGTTGAATCATGGAAGACAGAGATTATCTTTGTTCGAAGAATCCAACAACAATCACAAGCAGCAGAAGAAGGAGAAGCCGAAGCCCCACATCGAAGCAACAGCAAGAGAAACCAATGAAACCATACAGAGGAATAAGGATGAGGAAGTGGGGGAAGTGGGTTGCGGAGATAAGAGAACCCAACAAGAGATCAAGGATTTGGTTGGGTTCTTATACGACACCCGTTGCAGCGGCACGCGCATACGACACCGCCGTTTTCTACCTGCGAGGCCCTTCCGCGCGCCTTAACTTCCCCGACTTGTTGTTCCAAGACCAAGAGGGCAATGATTCGGTGCAGCAAGGTGCAGGGAACATGTCCGCTGATTCCATACGCGAAAAAGCTACTCAAGTTGGCGCTAGGGTCGATGCTCTTGAAACGGCTCTTCATCATGCTTCTTCCCACACCACCTCCACCACTCTCAAACCTGACTTGAACGAGTTTCCAAAACTCGAAGATTCCCTTGACCTTCAGGATTGATATTAATTCATATTAATATCAATTAATATTCCTAAGTCCTATCTACATATAGGTAGATATCATGAATATAGTGTTATATATATATATATATATATGGGGCTTGCAACTCACCCCTTACCCTTAATTTATCCGTCTTCTTGTTTTTCATATACATATATTTAATCGTATTATCAAATCAAAGCACCTATTTTCTAGGGTTTTTGCTGATTGATGCAAATATACTTGTACTATTGAAAAAGAATATGTGTAGTGTTTTGGCGGATAAGGTGTAATTAACATAACAAGGTGGGTAGTAATCGTCGAAGGGGCGGTGGATTCGTGGGCAAGTGACATAGAAATTGACATGGTTCATGGTTGATCGAGTTAATTGATTGTTTTGTTGTTATTGCAGGAAAATATATGTTTTTGTTTGATCCAAAAGAGGAAAAGGAATTTTTGTTTAGCTGCTTTAAATTACCGGTAAAGGGTTTGCGTTTGTGTAAATATTCTCTTCTCTATTATTGTGTTATGTTGGTGATTCGATCAAATTAAATATGTGTAAGTGCGATTCGTGAGAGGCAAAGGGATAAAGATGGGAGCAGCTGTGACCCAACGAAGATACATTGAAATAAACAAGCAAACACTAATGATCGGTTTGCCGAATAGTAACGAACAAGTGGATAAAGGGATAAGGTAGAGGAGAGAGCACCAAGAGGCAGTTTCTGTGACGAGGTGGTGGACACCACACAAATTAAATTATTTTATTTTGCTTTGAGAAAATGAGAAAATAATATTGAGGAAGAAGGTGCTGATTAGTGAATATCGATCGATCCAGAGAGAGAGAGAGATTGTCATTGTCACCGTCATGGAAAAGTTTGAGCTCAATGATGCCTTGTTTTATATGAGCTCACCCTTGGAGTAGAACGCACATTGCTGCTGCTTGTTTTTCCGGTTTTGAAACAATCAGTTATATGCTTCTGTCTTCATTCCTTTTTAGCAAAATCAAAAATAGAATCTCACGTTGATAAATATAATTTGTTCTCAATTAAGTTTAACGTTTTGATCACTGAAAGCGAGACAATTAAAAGTGATTTGTTTTGATTTTTAATGTAAATGTATATGAAAAGAATAAAAATTATAATAACTATATCCAATGTCTGTCATATAGCATATTAATGTTCAAATAGCAAAACTTTATCTTTTATTTACATTGGGGGGCATTCTATGGGGCTGTCTTGCGTTACTGGTTTCTAATCATTGTTGAATAAATTCCAAAAGGTCCCAATAGAGTATATAGCAGGGATTTTGCAAAACGTAATCCATTGACAAAAAATATCCACTCTAGTATATTGGTTAATAAAATGTTTGTTTATTTTTTCGTTGGTAATTTTCTTTTTCCTCTGAGAAAACCACGTCACAATACCTCTTCATTTCCGATAACTGAGTTTGGACGGTCCTAAACGCTAAAACAAACAGAATAAAAGTATATCTTGAAAACTTGGTGGAAACTTCTTAAGCACATGCATTGCTATTAGCTTATTACGAGGCTATTCCTTCTCACAGGTTAGGCTGGCCAAAATAAATACTCTATTTGGATGCAGATAAAATAAAATTATATTTAAATGAGTTAAATAAAAAACTTTAAAAAGTATTTTACTTATTTATATAAGTAAAAAAAGTATAAAAATAATTAAATATATTAAAATAATTATAAAAAATAAAAGTAATTTAAATTTTTAAAATTTTGATTACATTATATAAATATTTTTAAAAATTTAAAACAAAAATAAAAAAAGAAAGCCATAAGTGTCAAGTGAGTTCCTCTCTCACTTCGCCTCAAGAGATTTTTTTAGCTCTACCTAAAAAAGAGAAAAATCTCTTTCCTCTTTTAAACTCAACTTTTCTCACTTTTCTTTTATTTTTTTCCTCTTATGGTTCCTCCACCCTATACAAACAATATAAGGGGAAGAAATGACTTCTTAGAATGTAGAAGCTAAATAAAAGGGCTAATCTAGTGTTAGGAAGGTCTAGAGTGATGAAAACCATTTGTGGCGGTGGATGCTGACTTTTGAAGGGATATCCAATGTTATATAAATATTTGCCAAACAAGGTATTTTGGCTAAGTGACAGCCATATATATTGACTTACAAGGAGTTAGCTTAAAGCTTAAAAGGAGCGACCAAGGAAAAGGCTACGAAGAGGGTGGAGAGAGAGTCATTTTGAATGGATAGCTATTGTGCTTCCTCATCATACGTTAATATTGACTTTTGAATGGCTACGCATTGATTGATATATATGCTTAATTTGATACTTTAGTTATTAGATCTCTTACGCAATATGTTAAATCTTTTGAAGGGTTCTCCTCACGAGCTATAAATGATTTTTTTTATAAAAGTAAAATAATTAATTTATCACAAATTTAATTTTTATCAAGCTTAATGGCAACCTCATAGGGTTTAGTTATTATTGTAAATAATAAATTCATCAAAATTAACAAAAAATAATTATACATCATAAATTTATAATAATAAATTAATTAGTGATTTTCATTCCCACTTCTTAGTGCCCTTTGCCCTTTGCCCTTTGTGTTTTTGTTCTATTTGGGGAAGCTGACTAGTTTGTCTTTGTCAATTTTCAAATTTAATTCTTCTGAAAAATTTTAACGTATAAAGATGTACATTAGAAACCTTAAAATGAGAACTAACTAACTTGAGAATTATTTGAACTAGTGAATTATGTAACAGTACTCACACTATATGCCATTGTTATTTATTTGAGTTAAAATTTTACTTATAAATATCTATGATAACTAAAAGTTTTGATTTAATTTTGGTAAATAACGGGTTCACTAAGATGGATACTTCTTGTTTCATCATGTCAAATAAATTACATTTATCTAGATATTTGATTGCACTTCTATGGTATGGAGGAGTGCCCAATGAATTTTTCATGGATGCACTTAGAAGTAAAATGGAAAAAGTAAACCATGTTTACTCCGATAAATGTGTGGCACTTAAAAGGTTCTCATAAACTGTGGCCTTATTTTATAAAAGTTGTTCTCGATTTGGATAATAATTTATTTTTTAGTACCTAAATCATATACGGTAAAAGATCAAGCATTTATGCTTAATACTCTAAACACAATTTAACAACCCTCCAATTACAAAATATAACAACATTACTATTTTCCAGCATAATAAACTTAACCATAGGAAATAAGTTTCTCTTCCAGATTAGCCTAATATGAAGGTAGCTCCAATGATTTTTTTTCCCTTTTTTTTTTCTTACAAATTAGCACAAGTGTGAAGGTGGTTCCAATAATTTGAATGAAGGAAAGAGAGCAGCCAAATATAGTAAATGGAGGAGTCAAAATGTGCAACAAAAATAGTAATTAAATTTATGACTAACCTTTATCCAAAAATAAAGAAATAAAAAATAGAAGAAATATTACAATTTTATTAACAATTGTTTCAAAATTAAGGAATACTAAATATTTATAATTATTTAAATACATCTTATTAAATGAATTTTTTTCTTAAAAAGGCATATATAAAATAATGGTCGTAAGATTTTTTATTTTTACTTTTTGTCAAATACTGAAAACGTAAGAACAGTTGACGATCATAAGATGTGAGTGGTTCAGTTAAAGCCCAACCCAACACTATTGACAGGGCCAGTATGAACCTATTCCTAATATGCATTGGTTTAGTGTATACAGCCATTAATACACCTTCCATGAATATTACAATAAAATATCCTAAAGTTCAGTGAAGAAATGATATCATCCCTTACATTTACAAAATTTCGGGTACAATATTCAGCGGATTCAACTATTTCAACTCCATGCATATAAGAGTGCATTTTACATGTACTTGGACAATGTCAATGTATTTGGACCAATGAATATCACAAAGCTCCACCACCTCTTGAATCAATCCTCCTAAGCACCTAACAATGAAAAGAAGATACGTCTGAAAAAGAGACATGTCACCATCTCCGACCAATATATATATAGAATCTGCCAATGGGAATGACCCATCAACTATAATAAGGACGTGGACAATAACACATTGAAACATGGAAGTTACTTAGATACAGATAAGAAAATGTACCAAACTAAAATTTTCATAATATTTAAAATACAAAAACTATTTAATACATATATTTTTTTCCAAGTAAGAAGTATTTATTAACATATATTAAATATTTTTATTACAATCATTTAAATTAGAAAAAAATCTTAAATGCAAGTACCATACATCATTTTAGTGACGGCACTATTAAGTCCTCATAAATGAACCGTCTAACCTTGTATAGAGTAATAACATGGTAATTTTTTTATATAATATCAAGAATTCAGTCCATATTTTTTATCCCTATCGCCACTAATGCAGAAGCAATGTATCAAGATGATCAAAAGTGTCTTTTAATGTTTGCAATGTCAAGCCAAAGGTTAAGGTTAAGAAAGAAGGAGAAAAGAGAAATTTACACTAGGTTGAGTATTTAAAGCATGCATTACAATTCACAACAATAATAATAATAATAATAATAATAAAATAATGGCATAATTATTTATTTTGTATTTTTTAAATTTTTAAATTTTTGAACTTTTATATTTTAAAAATTTTTATTTTTTAAATCTAATAGATTATAATTTATTACTTTACTTACCGTTATATTTAAGTTAAACGAAAGACTTAGATTGAGTGTAAGAATTTTTAGAGTGTAAGAAGATCCTTCCACAAGCTTGAGGAACTAGTATTAAAACAAATTTCTTTAAACACAAAGGTTTTTCATATGCATCCAATTTCCATGTTGTACCTTCCTTATACAAATCGCTTAACACATTATCTCATTTTTATTCATGTTCCATCTTATGCTCACAACTTCATAAATACATGTATTAATATCTTATGCCAAAGAAAGCATTAATAGCTCGTAAACTGAAATCAATCTCTTTTCCTCAAACAAAACTCTTGAATTCACTTTTTTTCACTTTGCTCTTTCTCATCATTAGGTATCACATGTACATTGGCATAAAATTCCTTTACCAAATTTATTTTTCCTGATTGAAGACCCACACATATATCTATCTAATTGTCCGAGTTCCTTGCTTCAAAACACCTAACAAATAATTGAGACAAATATGAATTCTTATTAACTCAAAGCATGTCAAACTCAAATTTTCATTCAACCCTAACTCACCAAAACATCATCAACATCAACATTCTAATCATCGCAAAAAATCATGGCAAACTTCAATAATAAAAAAAATTGTTCAACTAAAATGCAACACTCATTCTAAAAAAATTTCTAATCACCATGAATAATTAACTTAACTTTTCAAAGTCAATGTTCGTCTACTTATTCCATCAAAATCTGACTTTAATTTCAACAATGAACTCTAATAACATACCATTTAATCACAAATTCTCAAAAAACACAAACCATACTCAAAAGCTCAAAGTCATATCAATATATTCATTTTTATAAATTCACATTGTTATTTCTTTAAACACTAGGACTTCACTAATCCAACATATTAATTCTATGATTATGAAGCAACCAAAATACCGAAAAACAGTCTTACATAATACTAATCACAAATTAAAATAACAATTCACCCCTAAAGACCTATTTTTTTAATTTCTTATTTTTCCCAATTCACAAACCCTAGCATCCACGAAGAGCCATACATTCAATTTATAGACTCATAATAAGAGATTGAGAGAAACAAGATAAATGAAAAGCCTACCTCACTTTGAAACCCACACAACATAATGTAGAATGCATAATAATTTATTTATTTTTTCAAACGTATGGTTACAACTTGCAAGAAATGAAGAAGATGAAGATTCTTTGAAGAACAAGAATGGAAGGGGTTTAAGAATGATGAAGCAAATTCTTTGGCAATGGCTAAACAGATGAAGGGAAGAGTTGAGAGGAAGAGTATATGTTTAGAAAATAAAGGAAGTGGAGAAAGCAAAGAAAAAGGTCAGTACGTTATGACTCAAAAAAAGCCCATGTTTCATTTAAAACATCACACGTTTAGTGCCTAGGCGGTGGATCACCTGAAAGTCCTCTTTTTTTTTTCTTGAACAGTTAATGCCCAGGCGGTGAATGTTGACTACCTAAGTAGTGAACAGTCTGAAACAAACTTTTTTTTTCTCACACTAAGCGCTCAAGTTATGAGAAATGACACTTAGGCGATGGACAACCTAAGACCAAGTTCAATTTTTTTGCACAATAAGTGCTTAGGTGTTCCATATGAACGCCTAGGCATTTTTTTATTAATTTAAAAAGTAAAGAATAAAACACTAAATAAAAAAATTAACATAAAATAAAGTAAAGCTAACTAAAATATGACAGAGAAAATAAAATTAAATAACTTAAAATAAAGGATACTAAAAATTGGGTATCTCCTAATAAGTGTTTTTTTAACATCATAAGCTTGACATTTTGTAAATTTTCATGACAATGTTGAGGTTGATATCTGTTTATAAATAGTTATACTTGTTGTCTTGTTTCAAAACGCTTAAAAAATATCTTATTATTATGCCATTTTTCTGTCTTTTTCTTGTACAAGCGAGCACTTTCATAAGCTTGGTATTGAAATTTCTCAAATTCATTAAGTTAAAGGAGTCTCTTTTTATTCACATCT